GTCTACGGTGGCGCATCTGCACCATCATCCGCAGCACTACTATCATCATCAGCGCGGACCTAGCAGCCCGGTCGGTAACAACGGTTACAGTCAACTGTCGAGGCCTCAGCCGCAGTGGGGCGCACCTCATCATTACGAGCCGCCAACGATACGGCGAGAAGAAAATGGAAAGAGTTATTTGGAGCTTGGTTCTAGTTATCGAGCGAACGAGAGGTGCTGCGAAGGTTCGAGGTCAAGCTGGTGTCGACGTGGTAGAGCGTGTTACAGACAAAGGCGACTAGCCGTTTTAAATATTTCGATGTGCAAGCTGGCGAGGTATCGCCAATTTCCGGATCCGAGCCTTCATCGATCGGTTCTCATCTGCAATACACTGAGGCATCTAGAACGCGAGATGGAGAGGGACAGAAGTCCGCCGCCCATGGAGCCGGTTATACCGGCACCGATTGCTCAACTTCAACCTCCTGAGCAGGGCAGGTTAACACCGTTCCCGATGCCACCAACGTCTTCGAACGAGACAGACGTCGATTCCGGCATCGGTGATAGCGACGACAGCCGTTCCATCAATTGGGGCAGCGTGCTGTCTCTCTCGAGTCAGTCGCCGCTGGATCCATTGAACAACAACGAGTTACTGGATGTCGATATCGGCCCAGACCTAGATTTAGACTTTATGCCTGGATGGAAGCTGACGCCCCTGTCCGCGGACGATATCCTTAGAAGTACGACGGCACAGGAACAGCAGCATCATCAGCATCAACAGCATCATCATCATCAACAGCAGCAGCAGCAGCAGCAGCAGCAACATCTGGCTCCAACTAGCGGCAGCTGCGCTAGTAGCAACGTCGGAAACGCCTGCGTCAGCACCGGCAGTAGCAGTAGTACGCACGAATCGTTAATGTGCGTTGGATCATAGCCCCCGATTTTGACATCGATGAGTCATCTCATCGATTTTTACCCGCTGATGCCGCAGAGTAAATAAAAACAAAAAGAGAAAAAAAAAACAAGCGCGGCAACAAACTCGCAATGAACCACAAATCGCAGAAACGAGGTACTCGCCCGCCTCTCCGATATGTGCGACGCCTGGTCGGCGATTCTCCAGGAGGTCTTCTTTTTCTTATTTATTACCGTTCGTGTCAATTACGCACCGATCGATTATCTCGGTTACATTCTACTTGTAGCATACCGATAACCAGCATGGGTGGTCTACTGATTGTAGGGAAGAGAGAAAGAGAGAGAGATAGAGATAAATAAAGAGAGAAAGGGTACGCGTCGCGTTACCCTGTGTTCGCAGGTGCAGCCGCCACGGAATTCATGGCCCATCGGGAGTGCTTCAAATGCGAAGCAACCAGAGGTGATTACAATTTATAAGCCGACGAGTAAACTTGATCTCGCGTTGTTCCAATTATCCACTACGATTCGACGTTTTATACCTTATCACTTTGCTCGGGATGATTTTCATTCGAGATCGTTCGAATTAATCGAGACTGTTTTATGAAACTGTTTCCTTCAAAAGTTTTACACTTTATATATATATATATATATATATATTCGCGCGTTTGAACGTACGAATTATATTAGAAAAATTCGAGTTTTCATACGATGGAACAACGCGAGGTCGGGTGCTCTCCTTCGGTCATCAACAACCACCTCGAAAACGAGCATTGCTATACTATATCGAAACGATGTGTTTTTGCAGCTGCACCTGCGAATTCAGCGGCGCATATCAGTTCCCGAGTCGCTCGAAATGTCGTCACCGGCGGCACGTCAGACACGAAAGAGCGAGAATAGCGTGAGAGAGTAAAACAGAAAAAAAAAAGAAAGAAAGAAAGAGAATAGTGAGAGAGCGAGAGAAAGCGAGTGAGAGAGCGACAGGGAAAAAGAGAGGTAGAGAGAAAGGGTTGGAAAAGTCTCAGAGCTTTCAATGTTCACGCCACCGGGCCGGGCGATAGGACAAGTACAGAGGATCGGTGGTAACCTTCTCTTCGGCTCCTTAAAACAACGACGATAAAGCGGCACGAAACCCCGACAGAGACCTACGTATGCACACAGAATATAATCTAATTGTTACATTCGATAGAAAAGTGTCCTTCTCTTCTTTCTACCGTATTAACTCTCGCTATTTTTGTTTCTCTTGTTTTTGGTAACATCGGCACAGCGTGATATGCGTATATCGCTCGCCTAGCCGGCTGACGTTGAGAACTCTTCGGCGACGTCCGGCGTCGTTCGCGACAGCCGATCGAAACGGGGAGTGTCCATCATCATCGATCGATGTTTTCTCTTTGGATTAGAAAGACTATCCAGCCGACGATTAAATTAATGTCATACACTCTGACACACTAACGATACACTTACACGCGTAAGACATAACCGCCGTGGCCTATATCGTACACTAATACACGTACACGCACCACATGTACACGCCGTATACGCTCTTATACACGTACATAGATACTATATGTGTACATCAGGAGAGAGAGAGAGAGAGAGAGCGAGCGAGCGAACGAGCGAGAGAGAGAGAGAGAGAGAGAGATACAGGTTCGTACACGGAAAAGTCGATATGGTGCTAGGACGATCACACCCTGGTGCTTAATTCTGTACACACAGAGACACATGTGCGTAAGTTCGCACGGATCGCCTGCAGTCTTCGTTAAGAAGTCTAGATACGTCCTGACGTCGTGAACAGGACACACCGTGATCCAACGTATTTCCATCAGGATTCTTCGTACGAGCTATATGGCTTGTCGGTTCTGGTACCTTGCAGAGGACGTGCGAGCATTGGATGAAAATACGTTGGATGGAGACGCGTAACTGTGTTCTGGCGCACGATGCTAACAAATGTACCTGCATTTTAGAAATCGGGATAAATGTTCGGTCCCTTCGTGTCGTCGCGCGGAGGCCACTGCGCGCCACTGATCTCTCGTTAATAATTATGTACTATAATACTATTGTAAAATAGAGTGTGGCCGACGAGCAGTGAACGAAGGCGACCATTGATTCATTTGGAACGATGTGGAACGGTGGGATTATTAAGCGAGGAGAAGAAAAAAGATAGAAAGAAAACGAAAGAAAAGAGTAAAATAAAGTAAAGTAAAACTCGACGATACGCACTTCGCGAAGAGGAACGGCGATCCGCGCGCGATCTCGTCCTCAACGTCCACTAACTGAAATCCAACGGAGCAGCTATACTTAAATCGAAGATAAGCGTCGTGTAAAGCAAATCTATGAACAAGCGACAAAGCGAATATAAGAAAAAGTAATTTATAAATCGACTGATTTACCTTGCGAGATAGCGGACAAAGAAAGGAAGAAGACGGAAGACGATTCAAGTAACGAAGAAAGGGAAGCTCTAGCCGGCAACGTTTCGCCACACGAATTCATTTATACCGTAATTAATCGAGTGTTAAGCCGACGATGATGTATGACACTTACACATACCGTTACAGCAAACTCGTACGTACACGCGCGACACCTTCACCACACAAATTGACACGTTTATACACGAGATACGCTACGTACTTGAATGTATATAGAGATACAACACTACGTGCTAAGTGTAATAATGATTAGCACGAACCGTCAACCCTCGGCAGTTTTCAGTTTTTCGTTCCTGTTCCGACGATCGTTTCTTTCTTTCGTTTTCCATCATTCTCCATCGTCGTATTACCAATTTCGAATGTTTTTCTGGCTCCCGCGCGTTTCATCGACGCCTTTTTGTACTCGATTCGACGCCGTTATCCCGCGTTGCTTTCCGCTACGCCAATCGCCTCGCCTCTATCCGATTCGTTCATTCGTTCCTCGCTTATTTCCTACGAAGAAAACAACGAGCAATATTACTTGAACGGCGCGAAGGATCTAGGAGAAGAACGTGTACGCGTGCATCGATCTCGAGCTGTTCGCAAGCTTCCTTCAAAACGGCCAATGAGAACATCGTTCTTCCCGATCGTCATACACGCCGGTGTTTGATCAAACGTTTTGTACATTCACAACTGTTTATACTGTGATCGCGTTGTAAATATTATCGGAAAACGAATATCGTACGTAATAGAAGAAAAAAAAAAAAGAAAAATTGTACACGAATGAAAGGAAAGTCGTTGGAACCAAAAAGTTGAATAAAGACTGCGACGTTTAATTTACTACGAAGGGCGATAGTAGAAAGTAACATTTCGCGATCAAACGTCGTCGGTCAGTAGATGTAAAGAAGGAAGAAGAGGAGATGTGTTCTCATTAGCTCGTTGCGTCTCTTAGGATTACGAATCGCTCGAGTTCTACCATCCTATCTACGACCGCGCGTAAGATGTTAAAACGCGAGAAACACATATGTACATGATACGTGGACACACAGGCATACACAACACAGATGCACACACAGATAAAGCGCACGTTGCGCGAGATTGCGCTCGATGCGTATGTGCGGCGGAGCGTTTTCAGGGAGATGGTCGGTGTTGTTTTCTTGCATGATGTACCAATGGGAACTGGCGTGAACGTACACGCGACGTACGTACACGAGATACATCAACGTATGCTACATCGTTGAAAAATTCGTCCATCGCGTTGATGCATCTTTCCAAATACAAATGCGCCTTTCCGTGTTTTGCGATCGCAAGCGCTACCTCATCGGCTTGGTGTTCCGTGACGAGGAGGACGCCTTACAATTTCACTTTCGATACACGCTGTACTCGCCGATAAAACAAAATTCCAGCCAATCTACCGGATAGATGTGAGAAACGGGCGTTGACTGACGTATCGAATTTCGTTAATACGAAGAAGAAAACCGCGCACTGGTTACGCGTACGCGAACAAAATACTCATGCCTCTCGATCGTAACATTTTGTATCCCGTTCGGTCGAGTTGATCGTTTAACGGAATGCCAAGCACCGCGTTACGCGACACTAGACTCGCTTCTCGAGAGTTAAAGAAGTAAAAAAGAAAAAAAAAAAAAGAAAAAGAAAAAAGGAACTCGGGAGGCGACAAAATAATTTCGTATTTTTTACACGGAGACGCAGCATCGCTGCGTTCGAACGCGACATTAAGTTACACGCGATTACACACACAGTACATGTACACGTAACGAAGACTCGGTACCGAAGGAGTGACTGTGAGTTCGGCGTTCGAGAATGGCGAGCGTGTTGAAGAGCGAAAGAGGACGTGAGTTTTTCTTTTCCTTTCCGTTTCTCTTCTCTCTCTTTTCTTTTTCTTTTTTTTTTCGTTTTTTTTTCTCGTTTCAATTCGTGGATCACGTGACGCAGCTTAGGGAAAAAAGAAAAAGCGTGACCGTGCGAGAGAACGACGATACGAGTTCTAAATACACGTACGTTTCGACGAGTGCGCCGGTGTGCGTGTTAATGTTAAAACGTTTTAAGAAAAAAAAGCGATAAAAAAAGATGGATGACGTAAAATGGGTGTGCGACGAACACCTTCTTCCGATGGGAGGTGCAAGTGAAAAGAAACGAGCGACCGAGAAGGAGAAGACGTGGAAGAAAAGGAGCATGAAAGATGAAAAGTTGTAAATAGTATAAATAGTACACGCGCAGAAGTACGTTTAAGCGGAAATAAAAGATGATATAATAGGTATAATGTGAAGAAAAATATACGCATATAAGATATTATTATATATTATATATAAATAAGAAGTATATATATAAGATTATTATGTATATTTACCGTGGTAAGTGATATACAAAAGCGGTGACGGGGACTCGCGCAATCTCGTTGTCGTGTTCGGATGATGTTGCTGTGATTCGCGGCTGGCCCACGCAACGATTTCCTGTTCAAATTCATTTCTGCTCGTAAGACGCATATCCCGCCAGACATCTCGTTCTCTTTTTCTAACCACACACGCACACACAAACACACACACACACACACGCACACGAAAAAACACACCACCACTCCGTTCTTGTCATCCGTATTTTCCCATACGATACATGCTCTTCCAGATTGTTTTCACGTGTGTATGCATCCAATGTAGATAATCGCGTCCGATCGTCGTACGCATATCGCCGCGAATTCTTTCTTCTCTAATTGTCCGTCGATCTTTCCCTTTCCATTTGTCGTCACTCGTCGCGTTTAAGAGCGATGAGCCGCGCGTAACGTATATAACGACAGCTAGATACGGACAAGAATTGCAGAGCCGATAGTGCCGGCAATGTTGCGTTTCTTCGCTCCTTACGAGACAGACAAGTTGCATCGTTCTCTGCGTCGAATTTATTTATGTATACACGGTGGGTTGGTTGTAGAGCGTTTAGTATCCGGCTTTCTTCTGTGCGTCTGTTCGTTGTTAACATGAAAGGGAAAAGAAAAAAAAAAAAGAGAAATACATACGTTTTTGTTATATCGTCATCATTATTATTATTATTATTATTATTATTATTACTATTATTATTATTATTATTATTATTATTATTATTATTTTAAATATTAATAAATGTAAATTTTATATTGTCCTACGAAGAGTTAATGGAATTGGGCTGTCGCGAAGATGTACGATTTAAGTTCCTATTACCACGATATCTAACGAAGAATCGATTAAAAGAGCAATCTACACGATCAGAGCGAACGAGTAAAATATGAAGTGCAGCGACAGCAGCGTTCTCGTGTGGGCCGCCTTGCGAACGCAACGTCCTCGAATCCTCCTATTTCTTTTCTTGTTTTTCTTTTTGTGCGATTACTATTATTATTATTATTCTTATTCTTATTCTTATTCTTCTTCTTATTATTATTATTACTACTACTACTACTATTATTATTATTATTATCATTAGCGTTAATACTATTAATATTATTGATACTATTAATGATCGATCGTTTTTACCGAACGCCTTAACCGAACGCGAAAAGAGAACGGTCTCTTCCTTTCTTTCGGACGAAACGCGAACGAACGAGGCTGTACGACGCCGCGGTCAGCGTGTGAAAAGCAAAAAGATAGCCGACGAAAAAATGAAAAAAAAAAAGGGAAAAAGAGGGCGACAGAGGGAAAAGAAGCAGAAACGAGGACGGGTGACGGCAAGCCAGAGCTAGATCGTAACGGATCTCCGAGACTTTACGAGAGTCCCGCCGTGACCGCAAACCTAGGACACGAGGAAAGAACACACAACATTGTACATTGTAAATAGTAGCGCGGAGAAGACGGTTACAGAGAAAGACAGAGTTAATTAATTAAAAGATAAAAGAAGGATAAGATGAGATGAGAGAACGAGCGAGCGAACGAGAGAGAGAGAGAGAGAGAGCGAGAGCAAGAGCGCGAGCGAGGGAGAGAGAGAGAGAGAAAAAATGAAGAAAAAGATGAATTGGCGCCGGGCGCGTGAAGCGAATGCACGTTCCCGAGGGATGTTCGATTCTAAGGCGAGTACAGAATGTAGGAAATTTTAAAAAGCGAGGAATCGATGGAAATGCGATAAAGCCGTTTTCCGGTATCAGACGCGATTTTCCATGGCGAAAATGCTCCTTCGTCGTCGTATCGATGATAGGATTGCTCGAAATTAACTAGCGCCGTTGATCGCCTGAAATCGACGTATCCCGATGGGTGTACGTTCGCCATACGAGCCGCGTGTGCGGCCACTTTAATAGAGCTAGGACAAATTTTAAGATGCACGATCGTGTATCTGCGAGACGTGCGCCGATCACTCGAACCGTCTTTCGTATCGTGTCGCAAGACTGCGTTAGACGTTTTAATTTTAGATTAAAAAAGGAAAACACACGTGGGGAAAAAGAGGGGGAGGAAAAAAAAAGGGAAAGTTGAGCTAACGTCGAACAAACGGAAACGCGAGAAGAAAACATACACGCTTTAGGGAAAATAAAAGCAAAGTAGAAAACAGAGAAAGCGAGGCAATAGTTGCGCGTTTCACGCGGTTAGTGGTAAACGGAGCGCAAGGACGAAGGACAACAGGATTCTTGATACAAACCGCGTGCGCGATTCGTTACTTTACACGCGTGCTTGCCAATTACCATGAGAACGAAGGGAAAAAAGGAACGGAAAAATGTGATGGAAAGAGAAAAGAAGCATGAATCGCAATTACTCTAGTCCTAAGTGGTCGGCGCGTGCACGATGCGAAGAATTGCACGGTTCTCGAGTGGTTGGACACGTTGTGTATCTTTTCTTTTTTCTTCGTTCGTTTCTCGTATTTTGTTTTAAAAAGTTGTGTCGTTGTATCGCGTACCGTTTTACCAAAATATCGAGCAGCAATGAATCAGCAGCAACAGAAAAAGAATGCAAACAACAAATTGCGGCGCAAAAAAACGATTAACCTGAAGAGAAGTAAGAGGATAACGCACGATATGGACAACAACAACAAAAACTATCAAAAACAATAAAGAGTATTATTCTATATATAATTATGCGTTATATTTTACAATCCTTAAAGTCCTCTACAGTCCTCTAAAGTATCCAGCAGTTTTCAAAGATTACCATTTCTGCCCATTTTAAAGACGAGTAATTTAACCCATATTTAACGTCAACATGCATTTTATAACTTTATGAGATATCTAACATTATTGTTATTTATAACCGTATCGACTGTGCAAGGTCATTAGCCAGTTTAACATTATTATTTCACGATAATACAGTGAAAAAGTGTGCGATACTTTAGCACGTGCGAAAGTAAAAAAATAAGAAGACATGTTTAACAAAAGTCTCGTGTTGTGTTTATTAGCCTATGAATGAGAAGATGTTACATGTTATCGAGTAGAGAAAGTAGAAGAAAACAAGTACAGCTAAACTAACAACGACGTAATGTAATGTCATCAAATATCGATATTTCTTCATTGTCGCCGGTGTCGGCTGTGGTGGTTCGTTCAGTAGTTTTCGTAACATGATGTAATTCTTATTTATATAACTATACCAGTTTATTGTTGATAAATCAAAACGAAATTCTTTTAAATCGGTCTCATCCATACGTGCTAAAATCTTCTTCGTATTATCTGTTTTTATATGTCGATCAGGTATTAGAAATTTTTTCCCGTCTATGTAATTTAAAAGTACCTTTTTCATCAGCTTTGTAAACCTACGTGCAAACAAATACCATTTATTATTAGTAGTAGTAGTAGTAGTATCATTTTAGGATGATATTAGGTTGTCCGAAATATGTCTTTCTTTTACAGACACGTCTTTTACAACGATACATCTTTATACAGACATGAAATCTAATCGGTCGAACGTTGTGATCCTTATTTTGATAGAACAAAATGGATTATACGTAATTCGATAAAATAATATAAAACGGAAAATGTTGTGCATCCATTATTTCCTTATAAAACGGAAGAATCTTTTCGGACGATCTAATAGTATTGCCTTAAAAGGACGAGTGTACAAATAATCTAATTAAGTATACCATGATCGAACATGGAAGATGTCCTTATCTAAAACTAGAAACTGGAATTTGAAGTTAGGACTTACATTGGCTTCCTCCATCGAAATACGTAATACGCGTCAAGAAGTAAACCAGGAATAACATTCAATAATGTAAGGAGAAAAGCGAAAGTATAGACATTTTTAACAAATATCAGGAACGGATAGCGGATCATTTCGGACGATGGATATTTGCGTGCATCTGCCAGTAAAGTATCTGTCAGCAGACTGTTCTTAACAGGATTCCAATCGCTACTTGCAAAATTATACACTCGTGGTTCGGACGATTCCCTTTAGAAGAAGGAAAGGTTAATAGAAATATTCATTTTCATCTTAAATGTTTCATTATGTAGAAATGAAAAATACTGTTTACTTATCGATCTTTTGGGTCATTTTAATAGTATAAAATACCTATTTAAGACGTAGTCCCATATCGCTGCTAAAAGGCCATTAGCCGTCATATCAACCGGAATTAGATCCAGACTAGAACCATTGACATCAACCTCAAGCACATTAATGAAACCCGCTCGTACTGCCCTTGCCGCAAGTATTGGACCATTCCTGTTTCCGATCCACCCTACGATTGGTTCATTGTGCGCACCTATGACTATTGAAGATATAAATAATACTAGTAAGTAATCTAAATATTCTCAATCTCTGGGATACTTTTAAGCAGGAGTGTAAATACTATAAAGCGATTGACATACTGATGCTAGGTCTGTACACTATACAAGGAAGCGACTTTCTTATGCCAAAAGTCCTGACCAGATCTTCGGCGGTGGCTTTGCTAAAGGGATATAAATTTATCCAGCTTCCTGCGATATCGCGTATTGATGCCTCTGAAAGTCCAGTCTTGGTTTCTTCGTCGACTTTTATCACGTCTTTGATCAGCTTCATATCAGCCGGAGGAGGGTAAAATTTTTCTTCCATTGTTGTATTATAAGGACTAGAATATGCGGTCGAAACGTAAGCGAATACCTCCAAGCGAGAGCACTCCGTCGCTAGTTCCAATAGCTTTTGCGTGCCAATTACGTTTGTTCGGAAAATATAGGACGGTTTTGCGTCAAAACGCACGTTCGATGCGTTGTGAATTATTATATTCACGTTCTCCAGCAAACGCCGACGATCTTCTGGCGATAAACCCAAGTCGCTTTCCTGTAGATCACCGTAGATCAGCTCGACCTTTTCCATAAAATTCGCATTTGATTCACGTAATGTATCAAATATCTGTAAATAGTACGAGAATATATGAATTATTTTGTAATTGCAATTATATACCTGATTTATTTATAATTGTTTTTAATAATGTCATGCGCGTAGAAGTTATACCACAGACTAGATCCTGTGTTTCGTCTATTTTATTAATTTCAATCAGTACACCTACTAGCACTAAATAATGCTTGAAAAGCAGGTAGTTTTAATGAATGCTAATTTTTTTTTACAAATGTTAAATGATTTTCTTCGATATTATTATCACCCTCTGGTGTCATGTAGTTCTTTGTAGTTCTTTGATATTGTATCTCAGTTACTCTACTTACATTATTTGCAAAGCATTTTTCCAATCGCTCTTTAACTTCCATGTTCTTCTTCTCTCGAATCATAACGTAAATCTTATTGATTTCAGTACATGTGCGCAGGATTTTTTCCAAAATGATGGTGCCAAGGTAACCAGTGCATCCGGTAAGCAGTATCTGTTTGCCAGCATAAAATCTCTGTATCTGACTTCCGCAATTTTTCTTTTCTTCGCTTAGTTGTCGATTTCCTTCTCGTTTAATCATTTTTTCCCCTTTTCTTACCAAATTTTATCACTTCGGCTTCTTTAAAGATGATATAGTCACACTGACTGAATGATGCTAAATTTACTTATTCAGCTTCTAATACAGTTGAATTGTATAACAGCAATTACTAATAAATAGATGTAATAATTGAGCTACGTTCGGTCACGATATACGAGGATCCGACGTGTGGAAAGATTATGCAGTGATAAAGCAATTTCGCAAATCTTTTATAGACTGTGATTTACAATTCTAATATGATAAAATGATAATAAATCATATATTTCCAGAAACCGAACAATTACAGCTATGTATAGTGTTGCGATGTGCATATCATAAATTAAGTATCTCGATTACGTGCGTACATTATACCGACATTTCAAATGAAGGATTTGAAAGAAACATTTCCAAAAAACTTGCAGTAGCGTGATTATGTGATCTGATCTACTGTTATATATAACCATATATATATATATATATGTATATATATATGTATATATATATATATATACATATATATATATAGTATATATAAGTTAAAATATCATAGTTAACATATCTCGTGATTATATTTAGAATGAGAACATTTCCTATTTGTAGTAATTGTGATTCCTACTGTAGTAGCTAAAATTTATACTATATTAATATATAGTACGATATCATACAGAATATTTAAGTTGTTTAAAAGTTATTTCAGATGATTATACTTATCGTTATATTAACACATTACGGACGGTACGCCGTGAAATATATTTCACCATAATTGCCGATTAGTTTTTTCAAATATAATGTTTATAAAATAAAAAACGTCGATTCATGTTTCCCGTCCTTAATATTTATGAAATGAATGTTAATTTTCATATCTGGCTTGGTGCTCTGTTTATTTCTCGTTGTTCTTCCGTTATTTCTTCTCTTCCACAATTTTTCTGATGGCATTATGTTTCTGCAACCATGAACTATTGAACTATAACAACTGAATAATAAGTGTTAGCTGTACATAGTCATCAAACTGATTTAATCTGATTTTAATCAACTTTGCAGAAACCAAAGTTCGCATTGACTTACAATAAAGCGATTAAATATATATTTTAGTTGCAAAAAATATTGGCTCGCACACATTTTTCTTATTTTTCTTCATAGCTTAAATTACTACTTGAAATGTTTAGAAATAAAGATCGATCATAATTAAAGCGAGAATACCAAGATAATTTTATGAACGATGTACTTCCTCTAAAAACGTATATAAAAGACATATAACACGATAGATGCTAATAATTTGTTAAAAAATACATTTCTTGTTGAATGTCCTGCAATCTTTCACGAAATCTGATCTGTTACACATTATACAAAATATTAAACTTGTTCTTACCTTCACGTTATTTTTCTCTCCTCTTAAATCGACCTAATTGCATAAATGTTTGCAAAATTTGCAAACAGTTTCGTTATTACACGAAAGTAGATACGAGTAGGCAATTATCTCGTATCAAAAATTGTATGACTTGTTTTCTAAAAAAAAAGGTTTTATCACATTAGTTATTAGAATAAAGAAATAAAAATAAATTCATCCTAATGAACTTTATACGTATTGCAACATTTTAGTTCCGTATTTATTTTTTTCTATTTTGTTATAATAGTATATTTCCTTTCTTGACTTACTTGACACGAAAACATCTATTGAACAAAATAACTTAATTGTACAATATCTTAATTTGTACATCACATTTCTATCGTTAGGATATCCAATGTAAATAATGTACAATGTAAAATATTATTTAATGTTTTACATAGAAATTTTGTAAATATTCTGAAATCATGATTTTAGATTCAATTTAGTAATGTTTTTAAACAATCAAAATTCATTCTTTCCTAAAAGAACTGATTCTAGTGACATAAAATCTAGTTAGCCATAGTATCTTCAATTAGAAAAAAAATGGTGAAGTTGGCAGCAAACATTTGGGAATATTTTAGTAATTTAGTTTGGTAACATTAATTTGACGATCAACTCTTACGAGTGTGCGCTGTAACTTCATTCGTTCGGCGACAATGGCGGCAGACCTTGATCAGCTTCAACAGCTTTTAAACACACTTCTTAGCACGGATAATGATACCAGAAAGCAAGCAGAGGTGCGTATATACTTCCTAATTTTCATACGCGTATTTTACGTATATCAATTTGCCGAAAAACGTAAATACTAGAAAACGGGATACTTCGTTTCTCGAGCACGTTGCCAACGTGTTGTCAGAATCTGCATGTGGATGCAGTTCGATGGTCATTGCTGTTAAATCACTGTTTTATTTTGGATTTTATTATAAAATACTTTTATGTAGCATTAATACAAACAGTTGCGTGGTAGATACGATTAGTAACTGTAGTGAATACTGACAAGTGTTTAGAACAACCTAATAAAATCCAAAATGGTGTCGCGCGGTAGCATGCACCCCTCGAACCTTTTACGTAGGTCCGTGTCACTTTCAACGTGATACGAATGCACGTTTTGACCAAAGTTTTTTACGATTTTTCACAATGTTTATATAATTTTGTTATAATACTAGGAAACAAAACAGTCTAATTTGAAACTAAATAACATGTAATATATAGCTCAATTACCTAGAAGGATTCATAATTTCTATATTTCGCTTTCCCGCCTACACGCGTTCATTTTCTACTGGAATTCCGGCATTTCTGGACCTGTTTGAATCATGAAGAAATACCTTCTTTCAGACGAACGTTTTTAATCTTTCATGCATTTATAGCTATATTAAGATAGTTACTAAAAGTAAATTATAATATTTCCAATTTTCTTATTGTGTATTTAGCACACGTGTATATAGTAGAACATTAAAAAAACGTGTCATTATCAGGCACCATGTGCTTCTTTTTCTTTAAAGTTTTTTCTTGGTAATTATTAACTATTAACGTATATAGCATAGGTCATTAAATAACTACCGTAATTTCTCATTAACATTAAGTTATAAATGCAGCAGTAATTATTAAACATGAATGAATATTTTATTAATATAATAAGTTATCTTTTCCTTTTTAAAGCCGAAAAGTCTATTTGTGACAAATTAGATTATGTAATAAATGTGTATACATACCTATATGTATATATATTTCATATTATAGGAGGCATACAACAACCTCCCAGTGGATAGTAAGGTGACATTTCTTTTAAGCTCCTTGTGCAATGCCACCCTTACAGAAGAAATGCGTGCTATGGCTGCCGTCTTGCTACGTCGACTATTTGCTTCTGAATTTATGGATTTTTATCCTAAAGTAATTATGCCTTTCTTGTATTTATTTTAAATAGAATATTTATTTTTTATGAAAATGGAAGAAGGCTTGTTACATTTGAAACAAAATTTTTTTATTTGGAATAAATACATTTTTTACATTTTTATATGAATGTATGAGATATTGTTCTACTCTTACTACTATCACATATAGCAAATTGTTGACTAAAATAATTTCTAATCATATAATACTTTCTGTAGTTTATGCCAGCAACTACTGCCAATGATAAAGTGACCTATTGTATGTCATGAACTATAAACCTATTTCACTTATTAAATCGATATTATTTGTATAAAATATAATATATATATACATATATATATATTATATATATAATGGAGCATTTAACAAGTACTAAACAGAATGTGTTAAAAGTACCTAATAAAATAATTTTTAGATGTTTACTACATGTATATAAAACTTGAAAAATATAGTTTAAATAAAACAATACAGCCTTAAAATATCTTATAACTTTTAAGTTCTAGTTCTCCTAACGAAAGATATTGAAGTTTCTATGTATGTCTTTCAGGTTTAATTTATGTTTGTTTGAATAAATGTTCCAACAACTTATCAAAATTGCAGCTAATTTCATTACAAAATATACATTGATTTGCATAAAATATTTCCATTGCTAGGACATAGATTAAATTTAAAACATCAAATAACGGACAATTTATAATATTAGCTTTAAACTTATTATTATAATAAACATCAGAAATATTTTGCATGAAATATTCCAATAAGTAGTTACACACATGTCATATAGTATACAATTTACTTTTCATAATGTATATAACATCAGCGTCTTTGTGTACTTGTGGAAATATAGTTGTTATATAAATATATTTTTGCCTAGATTCCACCAGAAGCACAAGCTCAATTAAGAGAGCAAATTTTATTATCTGTTCAAAGTGAACAGACGGAGACTATTCGACGTAAAGTTTGCGAAGTTGCAGCTGAAGTTGCACGAAATTTAATTGATGAAGATGGTAATAATCAGTGGCCAGAATTTCTGCAGTTCCTATTCCAATGTGCAAATAGTCCTGTACCAGCATTGAAAGAAAATGCTCTTCGAATGTTCACGTAAGTTTATCGTATTTGTACTGTAAAAATAATCCCATTTTAGATTGTAATTTGTATAATATAAATCATACATATTTCAAATATATAGATCCGTCCCTGGTGTATTTGGAAATCAACAAGCTAATTACCTTGATCTTATTAAACAAATGTTGCAGCAATCTATCATGGACTCTGCAAATTATGAGGTAATGTAAAACATATTTTTTTTCTGCATGTAGATGTAAATTCATTTTATATTTTCAACATTTCATATGGAAGAATGATACACAGGATACAAATAGCTAAGTTCCTCGTCATAGTTTCTTCCTATAAGAAGATTGCCTTCTGATGACTGTAACTTGTTAAGTTTTCATTTGCAGACAGATACGGGGCATACAAAAATTAACTGAAATTTTGTTTACTCTATATTATCTGTATCATTTTTTATTAATTCATATGTTATTATATAGAATCACAATATCTTTTATTTCATAAATTTTATTTCAATGGTATAATAACCAATGATATTTACTATAGGTCAGATTTCAAGCAGTAAGAGCAATTGGAGCCTTTATCGTTCTTCATGATAAAGAAGACAATATACAGAATCATTTCTCAGAATTACTACCAGCAATTGTACAAGTAATTGCTCAATCGGTAGAAAAACAAACAGATGATGCTCTTTTAAAAGTTTTGATCGATTTAGCGGAATCAACACCCAAATTTTTGAGATTACAATTAGAGACTATAATGGAAATGTGTATGAAAATATTTTCAAATGATGATATGATTGATTCATGGAGACAATTAGCATTGGAAGTATTAGTTACACTTGCAGAAACTGCTCCTGCAATGGTACGTAAAGTTGGTGGAAAATATATTGCGTCTCTAGTACCATTGGTGCTAAAAATGATGACAGATATACAAGAAGATGAAAAATGGAGTTTTTCGGATGAAATTGTTGAAGATGACAATGACAGTAATAATGTCGTTGCTGAAAGTGCTTTAGACAGATTAGCATGTGGTTTAGGTGGTAAAACTATGTTACCACAAATTGTACAGAATATTCCGTCAATGTTAAATAACAGTGACTGGAAGTACAGGTAAATATTTTAAAAATATTTTGATTTAATTTCAATACTTGTAATTATCACAGAATAGTCAGCAATTATGTATTTCGTGCATATAATTGCGTTACATCTGTGATAGAGTAATCATCGGGATTATTCTCAATTTTGTCTATTGTTTTGATATATGAAGTTCGAGATTCTCGATGGGTGTTCTTAAATAAGAGAGTTGATAGTAATGTTTCAATATTACTGTCATAGGCATGGAACAAACATTTATATTTTCGAAAATCTACTAAGTATAGCTTATGAAATTATAGTAATAAATGTTACCAAAAATTTATTTCGTAGGCATGCTGCTCTTATGGCAATATCAGCTGTTGGTGAAGGTTGTCATAAACAAATGGAAGTAATATTACCTCAAATCATGGATGGAGTTATACAATATTTACAAGATCCTGTAAGTTTGATCATAATGAAATCCTTTTTAAACGCCATGAATCAAGTCAGCAGTTATATTTAGGACATAAATATAATAGCGTTACGTTCATGGTAGAGTACAACGAAGGATTTGGTATTTATACATTGTCGTTCTGACAGTATGTTTATTAATATACTTCCTTCGAAGTTCTCGGGAGAGAGTTGGTTATTTATTATTAAATAACCATAGTCATGGAACACACACTCCATATGTAATACGTATACATCATGTTTATCTATTGCACGAGATCACCCTTTCTTGTTTATTGATTACATACTTTTTCTAGCATCCTCGTGTAAGATACGCAGCTTGTAATGCAGTAGGTCAAATGTCAACTGATTTTGCACCTGTATTCGAAAAAAAATTTCATGACAAAGTCATTCCTGGATTATTAATGGTGTTGGATGATAATGCGAATCCAAGAGTTCAGGCTCATGCCGGCGCAGCCCTCGTAAACTTCAGTGAAGATTGCCCAAAAAATATATTAACACCATATTTAGATGCTATTATGGCTAAATTGGAGTCGATTCTTACTGCTAAATTTCAAGAGTTAGTTGAGAAAGGCACTAAACTTGTCCTTGAACAAGTAAGTAAGAACATATATTGATTATATATAGTCAAATTAGAATAGTGCATGTATAATTGTAAACTATTATTATTTTCCTTATAGGTCGTTACAACTATAGCATCTGTTGCTGATACATGTGAAGAACAGTTTGTAACATATTATGATAGATTAATGCCATGTCTAAAATACATTATTCAAAATGCTAATCAACAAGAACATAAAATGTTACGTGGTAAAACCATTGAATGTGTGAGTCTTATAGGACTTGCAGTAGGACCTGAAAAGGTATAATAAATATGATATAATATTAAATCTATTGACAAATTATAATAAAATATTTTAATGTTACTTTTTTATAAAATTGTTATATAACTAAACCTTTTATGGTTTTATAGTTTATTGCAGACGCTAGTGAAGTTATGGATATGTTATTAAAAACACACTCAGAAGGAGATCTTCCAGATGATGATCCACAAACTAGTTATTTAATATCTGCGTGGGCTCGAATTTGCAAAATTCTTGGTATGAAGCTTAAGCTTTTATATTTTATTAAACTTCTATCTGAACTGGTAAAATGTTGATCTTAGTATGTTAAGATATATTTAAATAGTAAAAATTAATTTCTTTAGGTAAACAATTTGAGCAATATTTACCATTGGTAATGGGTCCAGTTTTACGTACAGCAGCTATGAAACCTGAAGTAGCTGTACTAGATAACGAAGATATGGAAGGTCTAGAAGATGTTGATTGGGAATTCATCTCTCTTGGTGAACAACAAAACTTCGGAATTAAAACTGCTGGCTTAGAAGACAAAGCTTCCGCCTGCGAAATGTTAGTTTGCTATGCACGTGAATTAAAGGAAGGTTTTGCAGATTATGCAGAGGAAGTAGTACGGCTAATGGTTCCTCTGTTGAAATTTTATTTTCATGATGGTGTTCGAACAGCAGCTGCTGCAAGTTTACCATATCTTCTAGATTGTGCAAAAATAAAAGGTTAATTAATAATTGTCCAAAATAATTAATTGCTCACATTATAATTCATTCTTTGTATTATAACTACGAGTAATAACTGAATTACAGGTCCACAATATCTTGAAGGGATGTGGGCGTATATCTGTCCCGACCTCTTGAAAGCAATCGATACAGAACCTGAACCTGAAGTTCTGCTAGAAATATTATATTCGTTGGCTAAATGTATCGAAACCCTCGGTGCCGGTTGTTTAGGAGCACAACCCATGGCTGAATTGTTACGTATATTAGATAAATTACTTAATAAACATTTTGAAAGAGCAGTAGCTAGATTGGAGAAGCGTAAAGATGAAGATTACGATGAAGTAAGGCTTTGTATAAAGATTTAATATAAAATTTAACTGTTGATGTCAATAGCTTGAAGTTTATATTCACATTATAGGTTGTTGAAGAACAGCTTGCTGATGAAGACAGTGAAGATGTATATACTCTAAGCAAAATAGCAGACATTTTACACGCATTGTTTACTACTCATACGTCATCATTCTTCCCTTACTTTGATCAAATTTGTGGACATTTTGTTAAATTGTTAAGCCCCGAAAGACCTTGGTCAGATCATCAATGGGCTTTATGTGTATTTGACGATATAATAGAATTTGCCGGACCCGAATGTGCAAAATATCAAGAATACTTCTTACGTCCAATGATACAATACGTATCCGATAAATCAGCAGAAGTAAGACAAGCAGCAGCTTATGGTTGTGGCATTTTAGGGCAGTACGGAGGAGAAGCGTTCGCTCAAGCATGCGCAGAGGCTTTGCCTAGGTTAATGGATGTTATAAACGATCCAGAATCAAGATCACCTGAAAATGTCAATCCTACTGAAAATGCTATATCTGCAGTTACAAAAATTCTTAAATATAATAATAAAGCAATCAATGTTGACGAAATACTACCTTATTGGTAAGGTTTTGATTTTCATATGATAATTTATAAATATTACGCGTAATTAATCAAATATTTCTAAATCTCTTATGTATCACTACAGGGTCTCTTGGCTACCAGTGGTAGAAGACAGAGATGAAGCACCCCATGTTTATGGATATTTATGTGATTTAATCGAAGCAAACCATGTAATAGTTTTAGGACCAAATAATGCAAACTTACCTCGGTTAATAAGTTTCTTTGCAGAAGCATTTTGCCAAAATGTTGTATCGACAGATAATCCTGTTATGGGTAGAATTCTTAGTATTGTTAGGCAAATACAGGTATAAGCAAATGCAACATGAAGAATATTATACAAGATACATTTTTTAATGTAACATATTTACATTCTAAAAAATCTATTTTTTGTTTCAGAACAACGAGTCTATGTTCCAGGCATGCATAAATGCATTAACTGCAGATCAACAACAAGCATTGCATGAGGCACTTCGTGCACAGCCTACTAATTAGCCATTTGCTTTTATTCTCCAACCATAACACTTTAATATAAAACAAAACGAAAAATACACAGACATTTGCTTTAATAAAGTTTGTGGAGAAATCACAGATTTTAGGTAGCTACATTATACCTATGGAACAATTTCACCAGCCTAATTATGAAGAAAAACAATTGTATGTAACTATTTGATATAACTCATATATTTGTTGACTGTATTTCACTAGTAAATACAATAGTTTCTACTACAATAATTTCGTACTATTTGGAATTATTGCAAATTACATACAAGAAAACTTGTACTTGTTATTACTTGATAAAGTGTGATACGTTACATATAAATCTAACAATATAAAATTCATTAAATCACACGAGTTCGCACTGACGAAACTTTTTATATTAATTATCTTTGTTTACTTCATAAAAATAACAATTAAGTAACAAACGGATATGAATTTATTTTTAATATAAAAAGATTAGAACAAAATTACATTTCCCGCCATTGCGAGCCGAACGATGCTAAAATCTTTTTCTCTGTTTTTTTTGCTTTTATTCTTTTTCTTAATGCTTTGTAAATTGCATAGTATCTGTAATCATTAACTCCATGTTTATTCTACGAGTATCGAAAAATTAACACTTTTGTCATTGCGATCTCTTCGTCCCAATTATTCTCATTCTGAAACTACTTTTTTGGCAGAATAATAAAAATGCGAAAAATAGACTGGAAAAACACCAACTCATTGCCATCAAATGATGGCGTAATATATTGTGATTTAGGTATTTTTATTATTAAATTTAGGTACAGTAAATGTTATTTAATAATGATATCGATAATATTACAGCGTTGAAGTTATACGGAACTGTATACGAATGCCTTTAAATGAAACGTAATGAACTGCTTTAAGATGTTTTATGTTTTAGTATAATAAATTATTTGCTAAATTCTAATTCAATGGATTGTATTAGAATGATAAATTTTAATAAATTTAAATAAGTTTTAGTTTAACATAAAACATATTTGATCTTGTAACTTTACAGCTAATTTACATTGATTTGTTACGCTTATTTAGCTGTAATTTTACAGTTTATTATCGCATCATTTAGAAATAAAAGATGACGATGAAATCAAGACATATTACTAAAGTAAGTTCAAAGGAATGAATGCTGGGCATTACGTTTCTTTCGGTTATTGTGTAATGACAATGTGAATTAAGAACAGTGGTGTAAAAAAAAAAGAAAAAAAATGATTGAGTGGAGTAATGTTACAATTTCCTGTTCTCGTTGCTATTTATTTGTACACAATAATTGTCATGGTATTTACTATTGCATGCAGATTTGCAATGGAAAATATATTCCAAGTAAAATCTGCGACTAGTTTCAACAAAATTCCTCCAAAATTTCTTCTATTACGGTATATAAGAGAATAGAATGGTCGAACATTTATTTGTATATATATATATATATGTATATATGTATATATATATATGTATATATATATATATATATCAAAGTATATGAATATTAAAACTAAGTACGTAAAGTTGAATTACGTAAATGTAATTATTGATGATTGGTAGGCACTGCCTTATTAATTATTTCATGAAGACCAACGTAAAGATCTTGTGAAATAGATACAAGCAATGTGCGATTGTAAACATTTCATTAAGAATTATTGAAGGACTGTTTATGCGACATATTGTGACAAAAAAAATGTGGAAGCAAAATCGGTATGAAAAAAGTAAAATTATAATTCTTATAATTATATAGAGATTATTTTAAAGTTATTATTCATTAAAATAAATCTCAGCTTTTTAATTGATTGTTTTGCTTTACCTTTCAAATCATGTATTTTGTAAGAAATAGAAATGAAATTTTTACAATGTGAAAAATAATATTGTGTGAAAATAAATCGTAAATGATAATCATCATTACATTACATTACATTTGATTTATGTTAACAGAAAAAAACATAATCAAATCATTGCCTAAATTTTATACATATATAATTTATACTCTAAAGTATAAGATTATTATTAGCAATATAAAAAATCAAATTTAAATCTAGATACGTATTATATAATATCATACATAGAAATGAAAACGGTGATAACGTTAATTTATTTTCATTAAAAAATATCTATTTAATTAAATACCTTTCTGTTTATATATAAATGTACTAGAAGTAAATAAACAAAATATATTCCATGTTTTTTTATATAAAACATTTTATTATATGGTATTTAATAATTATTATGATACATATATAAAGCTAAACGAAAACTTCAAATATGTCTTTGGAAATTACTTCGGACGTAAAATAATCAAATGTAAGTAATACATATATATATATATATGATCTAATTACTGAGTAATTTTCCCTTGCAATTTTATCAGAATTTAGATACTACGTCTATTACTTCAATCTCTTCCAAATATTTCATCTACAATGTTCCGCTTATGTAATAAATCACTCATAAATAGTATTTGAGTGACAAAATTTTTCAAGGCTGATATATTTCGACTGATGTTATATATTGGACATGTTATAAACATTGCATGACAGAAAATTTTATTAAATTCAATAACTAAAAAATTAGGAGTTTATAAAATACATGCGATAATGATAAATACAATTAAATCTTTAATTTTTTGATTACATTACGCAAAAGTTTTGTATATACGTATGTAAAACAATTATCATTATATATGTATATACTATATACGTATATGAATCAATCATTACTATATAAAGAAACATTAGACTATGAAATAAAACGAAGGGAACAGAATATTATTTTTAAATATTTGATTTTATCAAAAAATAAACGATGAATACAATGAATTTACAACAAATTTATTCATTATTCGATACGTGGAAATTTTCGTTATTTTAATTTGCATCATTTACATATGTGTTCATGAACTATATATTTACATATGTATAATATAAATAAGCATTTCAGTTATAAGATATCAATCCAAAATTATAACTTTTTAAATTATCCTACAAAATACATATAACTTAATTCGTAATAACTAATTATCTCGTATCGTAATAATATACTAATTTAATATTATGTTCATAGATATGTATTAAAACAATTAAATTTGTCGGAAATAATTTTATAGAATTGGAAATGTATTTGTACTCATGTGATAATAAGAGTATGATTGTATGACGTTGTGATCATCCGATATTACGTCACCGTTATTCTCCTTTCATTTTCATACCGGCGTTCATTCTATCGTCAAACACGTTCGGTGCACATTTATGCATTACAAGTGATATATTTATTGTGTGAAACTGAATTCTAATTGATCGTGTTCTAAAAATTTATAATTATCAATTACTTCCTCTGGCAGTCGAGAAGTGTATAGTATCATTTTGAAAACGTATGTTTATAAAATAAAATGCGAATTATGTCTTCTATTTCTAGACCATATTTTGCGCGCATTTAAAAAAAATATTTTGTTAAATATTTATTCTATTTTTGTATCGATAAAACTTCTTCATAACGTGATGATTATATACACGGAATGTCGATAATCCCAATCAAGTAATCAAAATTAATCAATCATAATAATATATTACAATACAATATTAATATCGACATTATATAATATTTAACAAACTAAATTGTTTTAGTCGAGAATTAATTTTTCCAATAATACTACTTAGTATTAATGAAACCTAATCAATCTTAATAATTAGATTTAAGAATATTTAACTTTTAGAAATTTGATGTACAACTTTTACGTTCGCGACAAAGATAAAAATAAAAAAGAATTCCGGTTGAAAATAATCTAGAGCATAAATTTTCATGGTTTTATTTTCGGTAATCGTGGAAACTAGATTTAAATAAAGATATTGGTACGGCTTCTTGTCCTCGTTCGTAATTCCCGTACTCTCTATTCTCTATATAGAACTCACGCACGCACAAATACCATCTCGTTTATACTTAGGGTTCATAGTACTGTTATACCGCCCCTGATTGCATACTGAAACGCATGCAATGCGCAGAGTATCCACAAGTATCGTGGCCAGCGTTTGCTGCGTTAGCCATTTAGTAGTACATGGCACTAGCATAGAATGTGAAATTTCTCTAAATATTTTTACAAATTTGTTTCTTAAATTTTGCTGTAAAAGTTACACGGAGAAACCTAACAGACCTTACGAGTTTATTAAATTTTTGGCGGAACTCTTCGATTTTTCGTCATATCCTATTCCTTATTGTATTAGTCTACCATCGTGTGTACAGAAATTAGGGCGTGAAGAGGTTCGTTCCGTTCAATTGGAATTTACAAAAGTTTAAAAAGAGAATACATGATAAGATAGACAGTATACATAACGATGAATTCTAGAAAGTCCAATGAATAAGTTACTTATTTCTACACGATTATCATATGATTAAATTGTTAATTACGCTATAAATATTGTATTTTTGATTCGTTGTTTCTGGCTATATTTTGTTTTCTGTATTCTCCTTTTTTAACCTTCGAACACAGTTTAGCAACATGCTAGTGTTTTACAGGCATTAAACCTATACTTCTAAAATTTTCTTAAATAATAATATGAAATAACATCAAACATGACTAGCTCAGAAATAATTCGGCACACCTCTAATTATTCCTTGGAAATTATACGAGTATTCATGAATATTTTATAAACATAGTGATTTGTAATCTAAAGTTATAGTAATGGTATTGACCAATAATTTTAATGTAACTAATGAAAACCAGGTAAACTTTTGTCAATTTCTGTGTAGATTATTAACTCATATCTATAAATTAATATTATTAAAAATACAGTAGTGCTTATGAAAGTGAATTCAAATAGTGCTATTTTTAATTTTGATATTACAGTTTTACAAAGTATTATCAGAAGTATGTGCAAATATATTTTTATTTAGTTCAGATAGAATATTAATGTACATATGATTCTGTGACTTTTGTTAAAGTTCGTACTTATCTTTTGTTACACACAGATGTAAAATATAACATATATCATTTATGTAACATTTTACATCACTAATGGCAATAATAAGATGTACACGTGATCTATTTATTAACAATAGGATCAATAAAAATTGGCATATTTCTGTTCAATAGGTTTTGTATGGACCTAATACAGAAAGAATAAAAAATGTCTAGAAAGCGTGCTAGAGAAGAAACTATGTTGAATTCTACAACTTATTTAAATATTCAAAATGGAGAGGATGCATCTTGCTCCAAGAAAGATTCGCCTGTTTATCCTGTAAGTACTACTTAATTCTTATAATTACTTATAATCAAAATTTGTTGAAAGTGTACTTGTTCAATAAGGAAGATACAATCTGTTTGTACTACGTTATCATTTAATTGATATTTTACCGATTTAATATAATGTTTATTATATTCAAGATTTTATATTAATTCATATATATATATTAATTCATATATATATATATGAAATACATATCTCATATACCTATGTGCTAGTTACACATGTACATGCGAATAAAGTTTACATACAAATTCTGCTGGGGCTATGGAATTATCTTTAATCATGAAGAGATAATATAGAAGCAAAAATTATTTATGATAATGGTATGACATTATGCAAGATCATAAGCATATCTATCTTAATATAATACCATGAATACTTGATTCTTTAAATAGTCTTATCGAAATACTTCATGAACAAGTATGTGAACATAGGTTCTGAAACATATTCTCTGTACTGAAATATTTAGCAGACAGTATGTCAACATTAAATTCAATGCAAATCTATTTTTTTAATATATGAAAAAGTTTTATATATATTTTAAAAAGTATTTTAATCTCCTAATAGAAACATCAAGATCTTTAAAATAATCTGTATTTAAAGAAATTTAACAGGTGGATTATACATATGTATACATATCTGACAAATAAATTCACTCGTATTGTTCTTTTATGGAAAATTTATTTTTCATAATATTAACAGCTAGTGACAATGACTTGGGGGACCAACAGGAATTCAAATAATGAGTCAGGTCAATTTTCGCTGAAAAAGTATAATAGCGAAATTTCTGTTTCCCACAAAGAACTTCCAGTGAGTCAAACATTTTTTTTTTTAATAATTTTTATGTTAATATATGTAATATAATTAAATTTTTATTTTTTATTTTGTTTCTAAAAATAAATACAAGTATTTTGTCTTCATTATTATTAAAATCAAACAAATTAAAGATCTATGATTAAGTAGGCTTTTGTTACTTATTATATTCAACTTTTCAAAAATGTAATTGAAATAATGTTTTTAATAAATTTCTATGAATTTTTCTTGATTATATATATATATCTATATCCCTTTTTTTGTTGTTTCATACCTCACTTTCATTTTTATTGTATAATTTACATTGTATTGAATTTATTGCAGTCAATTTGTAAGGAGGCTCCCTTTAGTGATGATCCAGAAGCACTTGCCGAAAGAAATGCATGTGATTATAATATTCGTATTACATTGAAAATGGCGAGAAGTAGTAAAGGTTAGTAGAAATGAATTAGATATTTGTGAAATTAGGTAATAGGAATTTTTGAATAATACATATAATGCTAATAATCTGTAATAATATAGCTCCTAGGAAAATCAGAGTCTATGCAGATGGTATTTATGACCTATTTCATCAAGGACATGCACGACAACTTTTACAAGCAAAAAATATTTTCCCTAATGTGTATCTTATTGTGGGAGGTAAAGAAATAAATTTCAAAATTTTGAGATGTAACATGAACTTTGCATAACATTAATAAAAACAATTTTTATTATTTTAGTTTGTAATGATCAGTTAACACATAGTAAAAAGGGAAGGACAGTTATGACAGATGTTGAGAGATATGATGCAGTAAGACATTGTCGTTATGTAGATGAGGTGGTTAGGGATGCACCTTGGGAACTGGATGATGAATTTCTTACAAAACATAAAGTAAAATTAACTGTAAATTATTTTTTTAAAAACATGTTTGTCGAATGTTAAAATAGTTCAACATTTAACATTTTTCAGATTGACTTTGTTGCTCATGATGATATACCTTATATGACAGATGATAGTACAGATGTTTATGCAGGCCTGAAAGCTAAAGGTATGTTTGTGGCTACGCAAAGAACAGAAGGAGTATCAACGTCAGATATTGTTGCAAGAATAGTTAAAGATTATGACATTTATGTAAGAAGAAATCTTGCGCGAGGCTACAGTGCCAAAGAACTTAATGTTTCTTTTCTCAATGCAAGTATATATTTTTTAAACGCAATATCTTTTTTAAGCAATGATATTTCATTGAATAAGTTATATATTTACAGGAAAAGAAATTCCGCTTACAAAATAAGTTTGATGATTTAAAAGATAAAGGTAAACGGGTGATGGAGAATATTGGCGAAAAACGTATGGATATGATTAGCAAATGGGAAGAAAAGTCTCGGGACTTTATTGATGCTTTTCTACTCTTGTTTGGAAGAGAAGGTAGATTGGTGGGTAGTATTTATGGATTAATTATTTTGATAATTACTTTGTACTCAGTATTAATGATATACTGTGAGATATGCATTATAGAGTTATATCCATTATAAAAGAATAAATAATATTTAAATTAACTGATATATAATTACTCTTTCTAACCTAAATTGTTCATAAGGCTTTTTTCAATGCAGTATGTGCATAAGTATAGAGGAAAATATCTTCTTTGTACATCTGTAGTTTATATACAATGGTGTCATATATATGTATTTAATCTAATGTTTTTTGTTTATTCTTAGAATAAGAAACTACGAATCGTACAAATTTTAATGAATTTCTAATTTCTTTTTTTTTGCAGTCAACGATTTGGAATGAAAGCAAAGGACGTTTGATGCAAGCATTATCTCCTCCTGCAAGCCCAAAAAGAGATGGTAGTCCGAATGGCAGTAATAGCAGCAATAATGATGAAGATCAGACAAGGTACATCACAGCATTCGAGTCAATTGACTAACATGCAACACCACTTCATTCTGTACTGCTTCTATATGAAAACCTTCAATACTTCATACCATCCATTTGCAGCATGTTATGTTAGTATATAATTTCACTGTTAAATACATTAGATAAATTTTAAGCAATAACACACAATTTAACCAATGCTTGTTGTAAAAAAATGTGTTTTACTTTCTTCCTTTTCTCTGTGTACATAATATATCTATAGTTCATAACGTGTCTGGTATTATCACAAATATTTTTTTTTGAGTACGTGGTAAATATTAAATATGAAAATGTTATTTACTTAATGATTAATCCAAACTAATGTAATTAATTTATATGATTTATGTTGCAGTCCACCACCAAAAAAGACTGGCCGTTTTGAATATTCACAGAGTAACTATTATTTAAGCGATGATTACAGCGATGATGAAGAAGAAAATTTGCAATCCAAATGATAATCCTTTTTTTCAAAAACACATTCTTTATTTTGACCAAAAATATCGTGCAATCTCCCAAAAAATGTTTAAGGATATTTTATTGCGTCTATGTGATTTGAAGATATGGATTATAATATTATGCTTAATAGTATTTTTATGGTATGATTTCATACTATATACGATATAAAATTATCTGTTATAATGTTTTCATTCAATCCAGCCATGGATTATTATATATTAATTAAATTATATATATGCACGAATATTGAGAAATCATACAGATAACTTAAAACATTCGTTGCAACTATTCTTGAGAGTTTCGTTATTGTTGTATTATTAGTAAGTTCCTATATTCTGAACGATACTTCATCATTCATTTTGAGTTTCATGCTATATAAGAACTACTAACAGTCAAAAGACATATTTTCACCTCGTGCAAAAAAATATGTGGTTCAAATATTCTGTCAACAATTTTTAATAATTTTCAATTGTTTTGTTACTAATTTTATATAACATTTTTTATACATGTTACCTCATAATTAATTACTTATGTACTATACATTTGCAGTGAGTACCTTCGCTGTAATTAGTATTAAATCATATTTTTATTGAACACTTAGTGTTGTTTATAAAAAGTTAGTCTATATGAAATTAATATTTATTTATATCATAAACCTTATATTATTAGTAGAATGCCAGTAAGAAAATATGAAGAAAATGAAGAACTTGAATATGAACTTAATTTGTTGTATTAAGGGTATTAAAGAATTTGAATAGGATTATACAAATTCAAATATATTAATTTTATAAATAATTGTTCTTGTTTAATCAAAGAATATTTATAAAGAAAGATGCAAATCTGCAATTTATTTTTAATAGTAAATATGTAGTAAGATTTCGATAAAAATCAATGAATAAAAACTAATCAAAATGAATATAGGATTTTAATTTGAATAAGAATATACCACATAGAAATCATTTTGAAGATGGTGCTTTTATTTGGATATATCCAGATATAATAACCCTGGAATGGTACAACCACTTTTATATTTTTAAACCATAACGTAGTTTTATAATATTCTTATATTTATGAAATATTTGAATAAAATATTTTTTTAATATATAAATGAAATATATGATAAAGATATTTATTCTTATTTTCGGTATGTAGCATCCACAATAAAGTAATTTTTAACATGCAAATTAGGAAGTTTGTTAATAGCATATAGTTCCAGGGGTAAAATATGTATTAGATGGATTTTAGATATAAATTTGGAATTTAACATGAAATGTATGAAAGATTTAAAAAACAAGAGATGTATATAAATTCGTATACATTGAAGCGCTTCTGTTTCTTAAAGAAGTACCAATCGTGCCTGAGTTTGACACCTTTTATTTAAATGCATATAAAATAGTACATCACAAGTATGTCACAGAAGATTTTTAAGTATGTTAAATGTTTGCTTCCCAATGTAACTGATGCATAAATTAGTAACATGTAATGATATGTGATAAGATGTAGCATACTTTCAATATCTTTTTTTAACGAATACATTCAAGAATGATTAGACACGCACAGTTTTACGATCGATAAAATGAATTTATGTAATTTCGACGGTTCATTTTAATTTTTTGAAACGGAAATCTAGTATCCACATTGACAGAAATTATATTTACTTAAATGAAGATGCAAGATGTAGTAATGTTCCATATTATTTCTATAACAGAAAAAGTAGAAGTTGTTCAATGAAACATTACAAGTTGTAAGTTAAATCGAATAATACTAATTAACTATATAATATATAATTGTAAGTTTTATATATTAGTATATATATAGATTGCTATATTGTTTAAAGATTTGTCTGATTCCAGCACTTGTATTTTTCTTTTATCCTTTAATATAAATATGTCGCAATACTCTAATTCATGGAAAAGGTAATATACATGTTAATTATATATGTATAAATGTATATTACGATATAATGTATTTATATCTAGAATAGTAAAAGAGATAAATAAAAGATAATATTTTTTATCCACATGATGACATGCACATAGATACGATGATACAACGTATGAATGTGGAAGAGCGAAGAATTTCCATGAGAGATCCGTGTCAGGTGACAGTGAATTAAACGGAAGTTATCGATAGTAGGATTGATTATCTGATTCTTAGAATGCACGTGTAGATTGATATGCACGAGGCTACGTAAAGATTTGGTATTGCATAAATGTGTGAATGAAGGTAGTTAATGGTAGGAAGAGGAAACTGAATCTAGCGACGGATATCATTATACTTTTATTTATTTTATTTTATTCTATTTTATTAACATGTTAACTACTTCGGCGAACATTGAGGGCGCACGTTTTAATACATTTCTTAGAACGATTTCATAAGATAAAATCAAAGAACTGAAAGATTATCAACAATGTGAATGATTTAGATAACATTGTCAGAGAAAAGTGTGCAAATACAATATAACATTTTGCATAAATTATATGTTATGGTGCAGTATATTTTAATCTATTGCGTATACTAGCGCAAAACATATGAAAATTGCGTGGTAGCACTATTTTACTATTACACAAAACTTTTACGTATTTTACGGAAAAAGGCACATGATCTCTGTCATCTTACTTACACGTACATATATATCATAAATGATAAAATGATAATAGGTCATTAATTGTATTGACTATTTTGTATTGTGTCGATCATTTTTTGTATGTTATTTCTTTGAATATTGCTTTTGAGTCGCTATAATTACAGTTAATCGTTATAGTTTTACTGTTTCAGAAGTTTAAACGCTTGAAAAATGGTAGCGTAAATTTGTCAATGCTACCATCCATTTGGAAAGAAATCTAATAATGCCATAATCTAAGTTACTTTTAATTTTGCAACATTTTCTTTGTTAAATTGGAATTTATATTGCGCCCTTGTCAAATTAAACATTATATAATTTACAATTTGCTGTTATTTGTGCAATTTAAGAATGCGGTAGTAAAAAAATAATTGGTATTACGCGATACGCAGTGATATATAGAGATCTAGTATAATCATCAACTTCACACTAATATCAGCAGTGTTAACAGCGCGTATTGTCTTTAGCTGATAGTTATTGTTAGTTTTCAATATTTAAAATTGCGAAATGTTCTTACACCACTGCTTCCCATCTTAGGTTCTTTTATATACGTAATCCTTTCTGAACCTTATAAATCATAGTTTAATACCGCACTGAAATTTCATTTCAATTTGAACTTATCAATCCCTTTGTAAGAGATAAGGCGAATTTTGCATAGCAATCTGAAGTGAGTGAAATTTATTGTGTGTCCTCGTTACAGGAAGGAAAAGAGAAACAGAATCTCGGCAATCAGTGAGTAATAGATGCGAGAAGAATGTCGAGCGAGAAACGGTGATAAGTAGCAAAATCACGGCACTACTGATAATTACGTTTCTGTGCCACTTCATGACACTTGCGAATTTAGCAGAAGAACCGTGGATTATTCGACTGTTATATTCATAATGGATTTTAAATAAATGTTGATGGTAAAAAGTGTCGTTTGGTGCCAATATCCAAATATATATACATATGCTTATACATGTATACGTATACATATATAGATCTGAGGAATCTTATGTACTGTAGGGTCCGTGAAAATAATACACCTGAGGGAACCCTGTTCAGGATTTGAACTTGTGTTTTGTCTATAAGATTCAAGGGCGCTATATGCTGTGCCATCAAGCTCTGCTCTTCTTTATTTTTCCGGGTCCTTTTTCTCACTGGATTCGCTCGTAGCCCGTAGGAGGCGCTCTCAATGATCAGTACGAAGAAGAGCGTACGAGAAGAACGATGTTGTAACTAACGGCCAAAATGGAAGAGCAAAGTGTTCACAGCAGTATCAGTGATATAAATAGTGAAGAGGCAGTTAGAAGCGAGCGTAAGTTCGCTAATATTTTCATCTTTACTATTATGTTTAGCTATTGATCTACATTGTTAATCGTTGCATATACCATAGGCACCTGTATGGACTAACCCTACCTCACTCTTTATCAAAACTCACGCGACAATGCTTGTGTCTTATATCTGTCACTCATTCTGATCCATAGATAAATCGACGTATCATATCCTCTACTTCTCTTATACACTTTTATATTGTGTTTTGAATTTTACGCGGGATGAATGTCAACGGTTTCTTATAAAATTGGCCTTGACTTATTCTCCAAAATTACGTCAGAAATTTGGTAGTCCGAAATGTCTTTATGAGCTTCCCTACAGTTCGTTATATACTTGTTTTGAATTTAATTATCTTTAATATTTATCTTCGTGTCATTTTAAGGTTAAAATCATCTGCTGTCATCTAAGATACATTATTTATTATACATTACATCTTACGAATTATTTTCATTATTTACTAATAGAATATATAGACACATATTTGAAAGCAATATCGTTTAAAAATATTTTGATTAAACTTATGTTATCAGTCAGTGATTGTTTGTTAAATAAATGAAGAATTTAATTTTTACATATTAAATACTATTTTCATTGTTTACTAGTACAATTATTTATATTTTACTTATTCTACGAAACTTTAGTTATATTCACTTCATTTTTAATATTTTTTATTATTAATTATATGGATATAAAATTCTCTTTATTATTATTTAATAAGAGAATTATTTGAGACATTTTTCAAAATGAAATCATCAAAAGTATTTCAGTACATCTTTCCCAAGTATTTCTTCTGTATCAGTAGTTTATGGATATAGGAAAAATATTTAAGCTTTGCATTTTCTAGTCATATTTCTTGTATAGGATTAGCTATTATTTACATACAATTATTTGTGGTTCTATTGTAATATAATATAGGATAATAGGGGTTGGAATTATATGAAATGAGATTAGGCATGAGACAATAGGGGTTTATTGCACCTTTTACCTATGGGTACAGAAGCCATTAATATTTATTGCCCTTCCTGTCTATTTATTGCATTTAGGATTCATACACACATAAATTTGGGTATTTGTAGCTATAATCACTGTGTGTTTTGACTTTAGGTCCTTAAAATATTTTAAACAGTGAAATTATTGTCGAATTATAAACAAATAAATAATAATCAATAATATCATATTAATAATTTAAATTTCATAAAAATAATTACTTCTTTCTTAGTTTTCTTAGTTTTCTTAATTTGAATTATTTTATTCATAATATATTTTATAACTGAAAATAAATTTTTTAAATTTAAAAATAAATTTTTTAAATTTAAATTATTGATTTTGTTATGTAAATGATGAAATATTTGTAAAATATTAAACCTTGACCCAAAATGTTATTGATAGCATTGTTTCATTAAATTTTACTAATGATAGCTGGAAATTTGTTTAAATTTCAGCTCTGATTATACCACGTAAGAAAAGGATATGCTTGATTGGTGCAGCTGGTGATGATCCTGCACTTGGTGCTGCTGCTCAGCAGTTTAGCGTACCTGTTCTCAAATCTGAAAATGGTTTAGAACATGTAGAAGATACATCATATTGTACTTACTTTATATTAAAGAAGTTCGAGGGACCTGAATATGATGCTCTTCATAAAAGTGCACATAGGTTTGT